GAATGTCTAAACCGGACCTGGGGGGCTCTTAGCCCGCGTCGAACCAAACGAACGATCCGCTCTGCACGTGCGGAGAGAGAGGCGAGTTCCACGCGGGTTGCAGAAAGCCTGCCGAGGATTTAGCAGCACGCAGACGAAGGCCGCGTCTCATTTTGAAAGTCGTTATCATCATCAGCAGCGGCAGCAGCCGTGATCTAAACACTGCTGGATAGCAAGCAGTGACCGCCATAAACACTGGCGGAGCCAGAGGGTGGCACGTGCCCCCCCAAATGAACCGATCGAAATCCCGAATTTCGATCAAAATCCCGAATTTCGTTCGGATCGTTGGGGTTTATTAGTAATAAATCGGCATTTTGCTACCCCCACTGCCACTGTGTAGCATATTATTACGTGCCAGGGACTCTATGAGATGATCAGCCAATAGTCTGAGTCCATTATTGGCAATAAGAAACGGCAAAGCAGTTATAAGTGGCTCACAGAATTGTGCGCAGTTGCGTCTACAGCACACGACTTCCCTGAAGGCATTCACCTTCAGCGAGCGCGATGCCGATCGCACGACGCGGTTCGAATTCGACCCTCGATCGATGGCTGCGCCATCGCCGCACACGCGTCGAATAAGAAGCAAGGGACAAGTCCTTACTTACTAACAACTCCTATATCATTTTTATTACACGCTTTCTTTTAACTCACTCTGTCTGTTGTTGTTGTCGTTGTTGTTGTATCCTGAAATCTTGTAACTCAATATTAACCAAATGTGGTATCGACTGCAAAATTGGTATACTTATGTCATACTGATAACAATACTATATTCTATCATAAAAAAATATATTTTTAAAAAGTCTTTTTTACATGTTATGTTTCGGCTTGGGTCTAATTGTCCACGCTCAACTGACGTTGGCTGTAATTGGGCACGGTTCCCTACATTATGGCAAGCTTCGGGGCCACTTCCTGGAGTCGTGGAGTTCTGCCATTACTAGTACATTTCATAACAGCGTGTTTTTTTAAAAGTTATTTTTAAATATTACTTATTCATTGCTGGATAAGTTGCCCCCCCACACCCTACCTGAAAATCCTGTCTCTGCCATTGGCCACAAGACGTTGTCATTCATGCCTGACGAGTGAGTAGACGACCCACTGCGCACACATGTCTTTAACAAGTCGAAATGACACGTGTATGTACTGCAACTTCTTTCGCACCATACACAGCCAAACGTTGCTGATCGAAGATGCGGTGGCGTAGGGAGGAGTGGGGTGGAGAAGGTCAACAAACGACACACAAAACGCAGTACATATTGTATCCCACGAAATGTGAAATACAATATATGTGCTGTACGCGCAGATGGCCAAAGCAATGTGGGGGGATGAGCTCCATCGAGGTCAAGCTCAGGCAGAGTTGGAGCCCTACAGGGCGATCACGCCAAGCGTGACCCAGGTGCTATAGGCTGCGGGCAGCAGAAGGCGATGCCAGCCAACATCCCACCCCAGCCGTCAACCCGCATTGACCAGCGTGGTGAAGTATGATCAAATAACTAAGCGTATAGTGATAGGTTTTTACCCTTTCAACTGGCACAAAAACTGACACCTTTATACAAGGCATCATGTTTGCAATAACCGCAACACAAGCAGTCAAAATGCAAACAAAAAGAAACAACTCTGATGATAATGACATGCACTGTCCTTGAAGTTGATTGGTCCACACCCGAGACAGCTTTTCTTAGAGCCTAGTCTCACATGGTGTTGGACCAGAAGACGCCAAAAGGCGTACAACTCAAAAACAACGCACTATCAGAGTATTGAGAGCTCGGGGTAAGCATTTACACTATGAGACATCTCCTTTACCAGTGGCAAAATATAGTAGTAGGTTTTTACCCTTTCAACTGGCACAAAAACTGATACCTTTATACATGTTTTTGGGGCGACTGGTCAAACCCAAACAAAAGCAATTAACTTGCAATGATAAAGAGTTCATAATGTGACGTTAAATGTGCGTGGGGGGTGTGCATGTGACGACGCAGTCGCATTGCGAAATCGGCCTTCGAGCAGATACAGTAAAGCAAACACACCAACAACCACGTCACCACCACCAACCACAACCATGCCACCACAACCAACCACAACCACGCCACCACCACCAACCACAACCATGCCACCAACGTCAACCACCACACCACTACCAACGTTAACAACAACAACCACCATCAACGGCAACAACAACAACCACCATCAACAGCAACAACTACACTACCGTCAACCACGCCACCAACAACAACCAACACCCCACCACCAACGACAACAACAACCACTAACAACAACAACCACCACACCAACAACAACAACCACCATCAACGGCCACAACCACACCACCACCATCAACAGCAACAGCAACAACTACACTACCATCAACCACACCACCACCAACGACAACAACCACCACCACCGACAACAACCACCATCAACAACAACAACCACACCACCACACCACCACTACGCACTTGCAGGAAGTCGCAGGCGACATTCGGTGACCACACAAATCGCCATGCAGAATCAACAACAACAACGACGTTTCCCCTTCACGAGGGGGCCCTGCACTGGAACGTCGGACAAATGACGCCCCTTTGTTGTGTATCGAGTGCGGCGTTGGCTCCCACTGAGTCGCGTTGCGGCCACAGGTAGCAGCAGTCAACACGACTCACCACGCGTAATGCCACCCACTACCTACTACCCACTACCAACCACCCACTAATCCAACCACCCACTAATTCAACTACCCACTAATTCAACTACCCACTAAACCAACCACTAATTCAACTACCCACTAATTCAACCACCCACTAATCCAACCACCCACTAATGCAACCACCACTAATTAAACCACTAATTCAACTACCCACTAATTCAACTACCCACTAATTCAACTACCCACTAATTCAACTACCCACTAAACCAACCACTAATTCAACTACCCACTAATTCAACTACCCACTAATTCAACTACCCACTAAACCAACCACTAATTCAACTACCCACTAATTCAACTACCCACTAATTCAACTACCCACTAATTCAACTATCCACTAATTCAACCACTAATTCAACCACTAATTCAACTACCCACTAATTCAACTACCCACTAAACCAACCACTAATTCAACTACCCACTAATTCAACTACCCACTAATTCAACCACTAATTCAACTACCCACTAATTCAACCACTAATTCAACTACCCACTAATTCAACCACCCACTAATCCAACCACCCACTAATGCAACCACCCACTAATTAAACCACTAATTCAACTACCCACTAATTCAACTACCCACTAATTCAACTACCCACTAAACCAACCACTAATTCAACTACTCACTAATTCAACTACCCACTAATTCAACTACCCACTAAACCAACCACTAATTCAACTACCCACTAATTCAACTACCCACTAATTCAACCACTAATTCAACCACTAATTCAGCTACCCACTAATTCAACTACCCACTAAACCAACCACTAATTCAACTACCCACTAATTCAACTACCCACTAATTCAACCACTAATTCAACTACCCACTAATTCAACCACTAATTCAACTACCCACTAATTCAACTACCCACTAATTCAACCACCCACTAATACAACCACCCACTAATACAACCACCAACTAATACAACCACCCACTAATTCAACCACCCACTAATTCAACCACCCACTAATTCAACCACCCACTATTTCAACCACCCACTAATTCAACCACCCACTAATCCAACCACCCACTAATTCAACCACCCACTATTTCAACCACCCACTAATTCAACCACCCACTAATTCAACCACCCACTATTTCAACCACCCACTATTTCAACCACCCACTAATTCAACCACCCACTAATTCAACCACCCACTATTTCAACCACCCACTAATTCAACCACCCACTAATTCAACCACCCACTATTTCAACCACCCACTAATTCAACCACCCACTAATTCAACCACCCACTAATTCAACCACCCACTAATTCAACCACCCACTATTTCAACCACCCACTAATTCAACCACCCACTAATTCAACCACCCACTATTTCAACCACCCACTAATTCAACCACCCACTAATCCAACCACCCACTACCTCCCACCTGGATTCATACTGCGCACATTCACAAAGCATCGCAACTACATTCCGCCTCTGGGCGGATTTGAAATGAAATATAAAATACTGTACTGTGTGTGTGTGATGATATTCACTGACCACGCAAAGCCCAATGGGGGCTTACCCAGAGCAGACATCATCATGACGACTTCCATAATACACAGGGCCTCGTGTGTTCAAAGTGAGACACATTCTGAACCTGTTTCAATCGTCTGGGTCACGATGGGTCGTGCGCTCTCTAAACTCACCGTCTGAAAGGGCAGTTACCACGGACCTACTTGCTGTACTGTAGAGCTGTGTCCTTCAACTTTCACAGATCGCTACGTGATCAACCAACTCTCCGCTCTCTCTCCCCTCTTAAGCGCTGTCAACAGTGGCATTTGCGCAGCAGCTACAACCACCGTCGCCACCACAACAACCCATCATCATCACAACAACCACCAACAACAACCACCACCACCACCAACCACCGCGCCCCACGTTCTGACCCATCTCGGATGGGGTTCGCACGTTCCGCACAACCAGAACCGAAACCAAGGAGGGGGGTGTGTAAGGGGTGCCACCGTAGCACGGTGCCACTGTAGCACGGTTGCCACTGTAGCACGGTGCCACTGTAGCACGGCTGCCACTGTAGCACGGTGCCACTGTAGCACGGTTGCCACTGTAGCACGGTGCCACTGTAGCACGGTGCCACTGTAGCACGGTGCCACTGTAGCACGGTGCCACTGTAGCACGGTTGCCACTGTAGCACGGTTGCCACTGTAGCACGGTTGCCACTGTAGCACGGTTGCCACTGTAGCACGGTGCCACTGTAGCACGGTTACCACACTGCCACGCTGCCACACTCACCGAATCGAAGGCTCCGCGGAGGTCGTCCGATCAACGCTGGTGGCGTCTGCTGCTGCTGCTGCGGTATCCGTGCCTCTGTGCCATGGGGCAGAATCGCGAGGCCTCGCCAACACAGGTGGTGGTGACGGTGGTGGTGGTGGTTGTTGGAACCTTTCTCGCCCACGAAACGCTTCGCGAACGACGCCGACTGCGCGCAGCCAGCGGGAAGGGTGGACAAGATTGGAGGGTCGACTATGGGGGGGGGGGGTAGCTACTCAGATCCTTCTTCTTGCTGCTGCTGCTGTGGACGATCTCTGGCGTGCGCGCTCGCCTCTGCTGCTTCCTGCGCCCTCGAGAAGGAGGAGGAGGATGATGATGGGGTGGGGTCTGGGGAGAGGAGGAGGAGGGATCATGTCGCGTCACACGCTGGCTCGCACGAGGCGAGAGAGAGGGAGGAAGAGGGAGGGGAGATGGAGGAGAGAGGGAGGAGAGAGGGAGGAGAGAGGGAGGAGAGAGGGAGGAGAGAGGGAGGAGAGAGGGAGGAGAGAGGGAGGGGAGAGGGAGGAGAGAGGGAGGAGAGAGGGATGAGAGAGGGATGAGAGAGGGAGGAGAGAGAGGTGGGGGGGGGGTAGCTAGGAGGCAGAGGCACGAGGCGCTATTGGACGGGGGAGGGAAGAGGCGAGTCGTGTAGCCGCTTGCTGATTGGTTCGCTCCGCTCGCCTGCGCCACGCCCTTGCACACGTGGGGGCGGGCCCTGCTCGCTGCTCATGCTGCTGCTGCTACCTCTGTGATCGTGGTTGTGGTGGTGGTTGTGGTGGTCTGTGGTGGTGGTTGTGGTCTGTGGTGGTGGTTGTGGTGGTTGTTGTGGTGGTTGTTGTTGTGATCGTGGTCTGTGGTGGTGGTGGTTGTGGTGGTCTGTGATGGTGGTGGTGGTCTCTGATGGTGGTGGTGGTTGTGGTGGTTGTGGTGGTAGTTATGGTGGTGGTGGTTGTGGTGGTTGTGGTGGTGGTGGTTGTGGTGGTGGTTGTGGTGGTGGTTGTGGTGGTTGTGGTGGTGGTGGTTGTTGTGGTGGTGGTTGTGGTGGTTGTGGTGGTGGTTGGGGTGGTGGTGGTGGTGGTTGTGGTGGTGGTTGTTTGTGGTGTTGGTTGTGGTAGTGGTTGTGGTGGTTGTGGTGGTGGTGGTTGTGGTGGTTGCGGTGGTTGTGGTGGTGTTGGTTGTGGTGGTGGTGGTTGTGGTGGTTGTGGTGGTGGTGGTTGTGGTGGTGGTGGTGGTGGTGGTTGTGGTGGCGGTGGTGGTGGTTGTGGTGGTGGTGGTGGTTGTGGTGGTGGTGGTTGTGGTGGTGGTGGTTGTGGTGCAGGCACCGCCCCGTGTGGACCCGAGCTTCCGCGTGGGAAGATCGCGAGGGGAGGGAGGGGAGCGAGAGAGGGAGGGGGGGTTTACATAAAGCAAAGCATTAAAAAAATATATAAAATGATGAACGAAGCAAAGTGCCGACTACACCGAGCATCTTCTTGTTTCCACTGATCGTAAAAAAAGAGGGAGGGAGGTTGATGGCCTGGGGGGTGGAGGGAGCTCGTGGAGGAGATGGGGAGTGGGAGGTGGGGTGCACAGGAGGGATGGAAATGAAGAGGGGGGAGGATTGGGATGCTAGAGACAGGTAATCGGGATGATGATGATGATGACGAGGGGTGATGAGATAGGAGTATCATGGTGATCGGGGTGTCGAAGGTAGCGGTGGGAGGTAGGGGTGAGTGGGGAATGAAGAGGGGTTGTTAGGAAGAGACGCGAAGGGGTGGGGTTGATGATGGATGATGTTTGACGATGTGTCGAGAATGAACTTGGAATGGTGTGGGACGGGAGGAAGGGAGACTGATTGTGTTGGGTGATGGTGGCCGTGGTGACGGGGAAATTAAGCGAGAGAATGAAGGAAAAAGGTTGAGAGGTCTGTTGGTAGTTGATGCTTGGGTTGAAATGCTGACAAGGCAATGAATAAAGCATCAACTGTCGACCTGCCACCGAGTACAACTCGATTTATCGACCTCGGAGGGGATGATGGGCAAAAAAAACGTGGCAGCTATTATTGTATTTCAATAAAAAAAATCATCGTCGGCCATCATCGATCCACAGCTTACGAAGCCGCCGCCGCCACCTCTCACGATCCTGCAAGAATCCATCCAGCAGCTGCACACCACAAGCTGCTTTCGCGGCTCCATCTCCTCTCGGTGGACGTCACCGGTGCCCCCCGTGGCGAGATGTTGACTACCTCGCCTGGTGTACAGGAGGTCGTGGGTTCGATCCCGACCCTTGACGCCTGCTGTATATTTGGAGTTTGCGTCTCTCATCATTATATTATCACGGTGGCTTGGAGATGTTAACTACCTCGCCTGGTGTACAGGAAGTCGTGGGTTCGATCCTGACCCTGACGCCTGCTGTAGATTTGGAGTTTGCGTGTCTCTCTCTCATCATCATCAGTGGCGAGGAGATGTTGACTACCTCGCCTGGTATACCGGAAGTCGTGGGTTCGATCCTGACCCTGACGCCTGCTGTAGATTTGGAGTTTGCGTGTCTCTCTCTCATCATCATCAGTAGCTAGGAGATGTTAACTCCCTCGCCTGGTATACAGGAAGTCGTGGGTTCGATCCTGATCCTGACGCCTGCTGTAGATTTGGAGTTTGCGTGTCTCTCTCTCATCATCATCAGTGGCTAGGAGATGTTGACAACCTCGCCTGGTGTACAGGAAGTCGTGGGTTCGATCCTGACCCTGACGCCTGCTGTAGATTTGGAGTTTGCGTGTCTCTCTCTCATCATCATCAGTAGCTAGGAGATGTTAACTCCCTCGCCTGGTATACAGGAAGTCGTGGGTTCGATCCTGATCCTGACGCCTGCTGTAGATTTGGAGTTTGCGTGTCTCTCTCTCATCATCATCAGTGGCTAGGAGATGTTGACAACCTCGCCTGGTGTACAGGAAGTCGTGGGTTCGATCCTGACCCTGACGCCTGCTGTAGATTTGGAGTTTGCGTGTCTCTCTCTCATCATCATCAGTGGCTAGGAGATGTTAACTACCTCGTCTGGTATACAGGAGGTCGTGGGTTCGATCCTGACCCTGACGCCTGCTGTAATTTGGAGTTTGCGGTGTCTCTCTCTTTTTTTTATTACTTTTTTTTCTCTCCCCGTGGTCGCGTGCATTTTTTTCTCCGGGTCCTCTGGGTTTTTCCCCTCCACGTTTAGAGACGCGCGTTTAGAGGATTTGGCTGCTGCTGCTGCTTAAAATGTCCACGCGATAAGCCACTCAGGTTGAGCTGTCATTTGTGATGACCGTGTCGCTTCTGAAAACGAGTTTTCATAGCTCAATGGGGGGCTTACCTGGTAACATGAAAAACATAGTTTAGTTGACTTCAATTACGTCGGAACGCGTTCCGTCCTTTAGTTGCAGCTCCCATGACCATTCTCGACCATCGGCATATCGCCCCTTCTGGCAGCGACGCGTCCAAGGCCCCGGACGCGTATCCTTACCCCCCTCTTTCAGTTTCACGGTCCAATTCCAAGCTCGCGTCTCTTCCGTGAGAATGACCCGATTTGTTCAATGCAAAACTCTTGGCACAAAATGTAATTTCTGAGAATGTTCAAACAGCCCAACTTCCCAACACCACCACCACCACCCTTCCTTGTGACGTTACGTGGGCGCTGGCGGGGGGGGGGTGTTTACAGAAACCGTCATGCGCTGAAACTTCCCTGCCAAGCTGTGCAGAGAAAGAGAGAGAGATCCGTCAGCTAAGAGTGCATGTACATTTTTTTTTATCCAACCAAACAATAAAACGAGCGGACGAAAATCATCATCAAGCATGGCCAATGACTACTACTCACCAATATACCCCTCATCGTCATCATCACCACCAACATAATCAACACCACTCGATCTGGCTGCTCCTAACACATTCCTGCAGAGAAAGCTCGTAGGAACGTTGGGTTGCTTGGTCAATGGCCAGGGTCAACGGCGGCGTGGTGTATTCCGCAAATATGCCCGACTGTGAGGGTGGACACAAGCCGGCGTGAGTAGGTTAAACGTTGAGTTTCATAAGGGCACCACGGAGTGACCAGCCCCTCCCCACCCTTCCCACCCCCACCCAGCCCCTCCCCACCCTCCCCACCCAGCACCTCCCCACCCAGCCCCACCCTCCCCACCCAGCCCCTCCCCTCCCCACCCATTCCCACCCCACCCTCCCCTCTCCACCCAGCCCCATCCCTCCCATTTTTGGATGCACGACGGACGGACGGACACAATAATCCCCTGTGGGCTGGTGGAACCAGGAGGTTCCTACCAGTATAAATTGCCACGTGATAAGCCACTTCGTTAAGCCATCACGTGTGGCCAGGTCACTTCTGACAACAACAAAACATAGCTATGGTTCAGTTTTAAAAAAGGTGTGAAGTAGTAAAATCGTTTACCAGTCATCACCGCCGCTAGACTACGACTGCCTCGGCCAAAGACCAAAGCGTGACTGACCGTGACCAGACAAAATTACCGTGTGTGCTTGCAGGCGAAGCAGCAGCAGCAGGCGGAGATGATATAATCTCGCCGCGTCGCCGGAGAGCAGAGGAGGAGGAGTGCACGCGCTAATTGGCTCCTCGTGATCATCAACACATCAACAACACATCGTCAACACGTCATCAACACATCGTCATCCGCGCGAGAGTTCCCCAAACGCAAAGAACCGAACCTTTAAACACATTCTTCAATGAACACCGTGGCCTTTAAAAAAATTAACCCGTAAAAACAAAGTTTTTCACTATAAATCCTTTATATGCGTGGCGGCTAGAGTCCTCTCGTCCTCTGGCTTGAGATGGCTGCCACCTATGGGTCAGATGATTGCCTGCCACCATTAAGCAATTGGAAAATTAAATAGAATTTATTTTTTCCTAAAAAGTGTAAAATTTCTGTGTGCAAAATGTCATCTCGATTGGATCACGGGAAGTGGGTTAAAAAACGACCGAAAGATTTACACGGTCGTAAGCGCGCAAGCAAGCAAGTGAACTTAATATAAAGGATTTATAAAATGGTTAAACGTGAAGACGCGACGTTTCTGGCAATTGCCCTTCCTCGGGACACGTGCGTTATACTCTGAGTTCACCGATTGGTTATGATCTGAGAAATATTGGTAATAAAATACGTAAATAAACGAGCAGATGAATTGTCTCCTTGACCAAAATTTTAAATTGGAGATGAGTGGGGGGCGAATTCGATTTCCGCTCACGACCGACACCAGTGACGATTATTTGAATCGGTCCTGGGCCTCCCCTAGGTCGACTCAGCCTCAAATGAGTA